AATGCCTAGAATATATGCAGCATTCCATTGCTATATGCCACTCTACTAATGCCTAGAATCTACGCAGCAGTCCATTGCTATATGCCACTCTACTAATGCCTAGAATCTACGCAGGATTCAATTGCTATATGCCACTCTACTAATGCCTAGAATCTACGCAGCAGTCCATTGCTATATGCCACTCTACTAATGCCTAGAATCTATGCAAGATTCCATTACTATATGCCACTCTACTAATGCCGAGAATCTTCGCAGCATTCCATTGCTACATGTATATGCCACTCTACTAATGCCTAGAATCTACGCAGCATCCCATCGCTATATGCCACTCGACAAACAAGTGAGTAGGTATGTTTTTATGCTGTTACATTGAAACAAAAAAACACTGTTTTTGACCTCTTCCTAATCAAACCCTTGAGTTTTCAATCATTGAAAATCCACCGCCACGCCCCATCACCAACTGTGGAAGTGATGAATCAGCTACCTGTCACACAACTACATGCATTGTCACTACAATATGCCCACCAAACCAAACAAACCAATCAGATACTATAAAAATTAGCTCAAATCAGTTGTGGTTGAGTGGCATAGATTAGCATAATAGTAGCATAATCCACACCATTTTCATGACCAGTTAATACTCAATTTTAATTCACAGCAGCTTTTAATAGAATACTCACTGAGTATGCATATTTTCGATGTAATTTCTTTTGTTTTTTAAAAGTGATCATCAATTCCTTCATAAACTCAAGCGTGACAACACCATTTTCAATCTTAGGTCCATTATAATCATTTTCTACAACTGCAAATATATAATATAATGCAAATAATCAATGACTTTGTTGTACACAGAATGTCCAACACAACACAACATGTAGATAGCATAGCATTACTTTACATTGTTGCTTCATTTTTTTAGTAATAAAATCTAAATCTCAGGACCTCTAAAAAACTACTAAACTAGCAGCCTGTCGGCTGAGATAACTCTGCTGTTATCAATGCACATTTCAATTAAAGAACTGAAGATATCATCAGAAAATGAACAATATGTATAATATTAAAGCAATTGGACTTGCTGTTTTCAACAAAAATTAAAAAATAAACTAATCAAAATTAGATAATTGAAGAACAAAATCATCACAAAATGAACAAATCCGAGAGAGGTCTACCTGTAGTACCGGTACCTACTAGTATGTAGTATATATAATATCAAAGCAATTTTAAATTTTTGTGCCAGGCGACAGTTCATGACATTGAGTGTCACAGTTGTCTCTCCTGACATTTTTTTTTGTATGTGCAAATTGCAAGTGCTAGTGCTGACACATACGGTAGTGCATATTTTATGTTTAGGACTACATGACAGGGCTGTGTGGACATCTCTGTCAAATGTCATTTTTTTAATGCGCTATTCTGGCGTCAACCAGGCTCGGTCAAACACAAGCACCTGCGGACCTTAACCAAGGTTCCCCCAAAGTCGCATTCGTTAGTGAATGAATCTCAGCCAGTGGAATTGGCCTTCTGATGTTCAGCCTAAGTAGGATTTGAACTTGGGTCTACCGATCATGAGTCTGATGCAACAACCACTACGGTACCAGTGATCGGTAAAAATTAAAAAAAAAAAAAAAATAATAATATCGAAGCAATTAGACTTGCGGTTTTTAACAAGAAGTCGAAAATATCACTTTTTACCAAAAATGACAATAATATTCATGAAAATTAGAGAATTAAAGATATCATCACGAAATGAACAAATCTGAGAGAGGTCCACTCAAGGTACCTTCCTAGAAAGTTTCACAGCTATACAGTTTGTGGTTTTTAAGCAGAAGTCAAAAATGTAAAGTTGACGACGGCGACGACAGAGAATCAGTAATACTACACAAGTCATTGTCAATGACACGTCGCCGTTCCGTTCATTTTTGAGTGACATATACATTCAAAGCAGATCATGACCGAAATCTCAGTGGTCTGATCCGAAATGCACCTGCATATGTACAACACATTGTACTTAATCTGAACAAAATCCATCCATCCATCCATGCATGACTGAGATCCGGTTCTGGAATTGTGAAAATACGCGATTTTGATGCATTTTCGGCCTTAAAATGGTCATTATTCATGAAACAAATGCACATACATATTTGTGACATGATGTACCTTGTGTGTGTGAAGTTTGAACTCGATCAATCCAGGCATGTCTCAGATACAGATCCAGAACTGAATTCTTTAAAACAAAATGGCCGCCAGTCGGCCATTTCAAACCCGATCCAAAAAAAAAATGACGTGCTTCAAGGTCCCATTATGTTTAATGTATGTACCAAATTTGAACAAAATCTGTCCATGCATAACTGAGATCCGGGTCCGGAATGGTGAAAATGCGCGATTTTGATGCATTTTCGGCCTTAAAATGGCCGCTATTCGGCTAACGTTAATCGGTTCATGAAAAAAAAAAAATGCATGTGCATATGTCCCATATAATGTGTGATGTATGAGTGAAATTTGAACTTAATCGGGTCCATGCATGTTCGAGATACAGGTGATCACGGACGCACGGATGCACAAAGGGCAAACCGCAAGTCCCCGTTTTCGGACTATGTCCGAACGGGGACTAATAAGCTTTGCTTGACTTCGACGACAGTGGAGCTAAAATACACAGAGCAAATGCTATGAAAATGTCAAATAGTCTACATAAAATTACCACTTTTGCCATCAAAAAGACTAATGGTAATTTAAAAACATGTTGTCATCAACAAAAATGGCAATTACTTTATATAAAGTGAATGTTACAGTAACATATTTCTATTTGTAACATGAATATTTTCACACTACTGCCTTTGTTTTTGAAGTTTATTACTACATGTAACAAGCTAATAATTGGCCAAAAAACAAAATGTAGCATTATTCACCACTTTCAGGTATTAAATGTAATTTTTAGAAACATGCAAATTACAAACTTACTCATATTTTCAACATCTAGTGTGTCTATCACTGATTTCTGGACATCGTCCATTGATATTGCTTTTTCAAATGCTCGTCTTTTAACAATCTTGCTACATTCTGTGTATTTAGCTTTGGCATCTTTATCATTGGGCCTCGCTTTCATCACCTGCAGAGTGGAAATTTATCACATATCAAACATGTGCCAAAAATATGTATATTGTACAATGAATGAATGCATACATTACAATCTTTCTCTTTTTTTCACTTTTCATTTCAGCTCCACATAAACAAAAAACAGGCTTTGCTACAATTAAAATTCATACAGCATTGAAATTGGTTTTGTCTGTACAAATAAATTATTTAATCTGCTTTAACACTGAGTTTCAATCAGTGTGACGACAACATCAATACCACATACAACAGTACTCATTTCGCCCAATATCCTACTAGCTTTGCTGTTTTCATAAACTTTTCATAAACTTTTTTATACCACAGAATTTTGCAATTTATTTCCAGAAACGTAAATGTGGAAGTATCACTCAATCTTTTGTGTCACATTGATTCATGTCTTTTTTAGATTTAAGGATTGGAGAAGTCATATCTGAAGTTCCATCATGTTTATAGCAGTTTATAATTAACAGTCAAAATTTAATAAATTACCCGATTGTCCTGTGGAGCAACAATTCTGAAAAACCGGGTTGTCCACATGCAAAATATTCAATGAAGCTTGAACAGCAAAGCCAACTATGAACTATGACATAATGTGATTTCTGTATTTATTTTTAATGTGGTCTCAATGCGTAACCATTTTTCATATTTCGTAACAACTGAATCATGTGCACACAATATGATCTATTGACTTTTATTTATCTGGAATGGGATATTTTATGTGTACCAAGGTTTGTATCTATAGTGGGACTTGTATACTGGATTTTCAGCACTTTTATGATTTATTATTTTATTTTTTAGCGAAGAGCATGGATAGTGAAATGAAACAACATATTTCCACATATGAAATATACTTTACATCTCTATTTGGTATTTTTATGTTTGTGTGTTATGATAGTGTATGTATAATTACATGTGTCTATCTGCCAACTTGCCTTTCAATAATAATTTTGACATGTTCAAATGCTAATTGGCTGTGATCTGATGTTTTTGTATTTTGAAAAGCTGTTAGTGTCCAGGACCCCAGTATGGTTTAGAAACAAAGTTTTGTATTGTTCTAGGCAAAATAAAAAATCGACTGAAAGCGGAAAGTAAATTATTATGTAAATTACATGTATTATGGATGTACCATAATTGTCTGGGTAAGCGCCCAAGCCAGGGCTCACCCCTATTTTATTCATATTTTTATGCACATTGCAGGGTTCTCCCTGGAAAAAATGCATAGTGCTGCAACTAATTTGCATATTAATTTGCATATCATTCACAAACCTTTCCTTCATTAATTAACAGAACTCATTTACAATTATGAATATTAATGAGCTCAGTCACAGTGCAAATATTTTTTTTAATGGAATCAACACATTATGTTTCACAATTTAGAAGAGTTTGAAACATTCTCGAAATAGAGATGCTGCAGACTAAAAACAAACACAAATAAATTATTGTTAAATTAAACGTTGAATAAAACGCATTCGAAACGTTAAGCCAAAAATATGTTCACGAATTTCATGATTTTATTTACTCCAAAAACATTCACCTTCAAAAATTCAACCACGTAATTAATTGGCGTATTGTTGTAACTTATTATTATTCGTACCATCAACTTCTGAAACGTTTACATTTACAGTAATGAGCGAACAAATAAAACGATCATCAAAGTTACAACGTGACATAACTTACTTGGTGATGTTATACACCGGTTATACCAATAATTCCTCAATAAATGTTACTTCTTTTTTATATGAAATGAAAGTAAAATCCAACTTATTTTTATCGGGAGCGATTATTTTTGATCACTCAATCACTTTGGTAAAAAAAAAACAGACCCGCCATGATGTTTGTGAAACATTAGCATGTGTCCTTTGACCTGATGGGTCAAGAATGCCATTAACCAATCAAAATACTGCATGGTAATGCTGGTAGAATCCGAAGTTTTCCGAATGGTAGTGATCATAAAAATTACATTGTGGAAGTGAAGCGATGTCGTAGCACAATGTGTTGGCATCGATTTTAATTGAAAACTGCATGATGGTTTTTGAAAGAGGTGATGAGCAATATTTAAAAGGTAAAATAGGTCTTGAAAGAAGAGTTTTTACATGATTCGCAATGATAACAGTTCAAATGTATTTTACCAAATCACGCAATAAACACGTTGTTTTTAAGTAGCGTAAACTGATCATGAACTCCGCTTTGACCATGTTATATCAAGGTGGAATTGATTTTGAAAGAATTTTAGCTTTCAATCTAAAGACAGTATCTATCGCAGATAGTATTTACTACAAACAAAGAGGTGCTAATTCCACAAATTTGACTAGCACCAACGTATCCTGCGAATAGGTCTTTTGTTTACAAATTATAATCCACGACTGGCAGGATGCGTGTTGGTCGGTACGTAATTATAATAACAATCAGACAA